GAATAATAACATTCTAAGAGGTCTCAGATTATTGGTGCTGAGTTTGTGCTAAATAAAAGCAAATGTAACACTTTGGGATAAATGTTTTTTAGATAGGTGAAATATTTTAAAATGTCAAGGCATGTCAGATTACCCCGAAAGTGGAAAAGAGGCCTCAGACCCCAGGGGGTTAACTTACTTTTATTATTATGAAGTGCTGTTCAGAGCATGTAAGCGGAGTGGAGCGTGAGCGAGGAGCGGAGCGGGCGAAATTTGGTCAGAGCGCGGAGTGGTCGGTCTGTCTCGCTCCAATTTCGCTCCGATCCCGCTCATGTGGTGCACCCAAATTGGTGCAACCACATTTGGTGATTCAAGATTCAAAGAACTTTATTAATCCCAAAGGGAAATTGCTTTGTCTTGGTTATACAGTTGCTCTGATTAATTTACTGGGAAGAAAGGAAAAAAAAAAAATATATATGTACTTATAAACAGTAAAACATTTTATCCCTTTAAATTAGGACTAACATCTTGTGGAATGCAGCGAATTATTATTTGTCATTTAGCAGGACATCCTGTAATGAAAGGAAAAGGAGGGGAATAATGAATAATGAGGGGGGCGTGGCACACAGGAGGATCGAACGAGCAGGTCATGACATACATAGTAATCAATCAATCTATCTATCTTTATTTATATAGCTTTATTTTAACCATACAGTTTACAAAGACATTTTCAAGAAAGAAAAAGAAGGAAATTGAAATAAGCACATATAAAATTTAAATACACCAAAATATAATAAAAAAACAACAGAATCGCGGGACTTTAACTAACCATATTTTCCGCAGAGGACTTTAACCCCTACTACACTGGGGAATCCCACCTGTGATAGCTTTAGATTTAAAAAATAATGCAAAATATGCTACTTTTCAAACATTTCTATAAGGATATATGGAACTTTCATTCTGAAGGGAGTTTGGTGTGCTTTTTTACTGTTAACCACAGGTTAATCTAATTCAGAAAGGTCGTTGTGTATATAAGTTTTCGCTGCACCTTCCTAATTAGATTAATAATTAGCCGACTGATGGCTGAAGAATCCTCACACTTGGTTTTGAACAACTGGCCTAAAGGTTATCCCAAAATCCTGCATACACACTGGCCGTTTGGAGAATATATTGACCACTCCTGCTCTACACGTTATTCAAATTATTGTAAAATGGGATTTGAAAGGGAGTCTCTTTAAATATGGCATTGCAAAATGTGTCTGTGTTTATCTGCTCAAATGTACAGTATGTTAAATGATCAGTAGCATAATCCATGTTTTCTGCAGCCCGTTGGATCAGCATGATGGGTTGTAATGTGTTTCTTCTGCTGAAACTTCTACTGATTTCAGGTCAGTTTCTTTCAAATTGTACTTGAGATATTTCTCATAAAAAGGGCCCTACCAGTTTACATATTGAATAAATCTGCCAAGAGACAATCACATTATATTGCTCTTTCGTGTTTACAGGACCTTTGTGTTACATCTGTAATAGATGCCACACACACATCTACTAAATTTACAGTACATGCAGATTCAGACAAATATGGTTATTTCTGTATGTCTTCGATGACAATGTTCATCCATCAGCCTGTCAGTTTTCTCATGTCATAGAAATGCATTCTTTATATATCATTATATTGAAACACACACACACATCATAAGTAACCAAACAAAAGACAAGACTCTTGCCATTTGTAGTCTTTTGATTGTATTCACAGGACCAGGAAGTACAATACAATACTTTTGTCCATATAGTGTGTGTGTATGTGTATGTCCTCTCCTGGAGCCAACACCTTATCGTGGTGGAGGGGTTTGTGTGTCCCAATGATCCTAGGAGCTAAGTTGCCTGGGGCTTTATGCCCCTGGTAGGGTCACCCAAGGCAAACAGGTCCTGGGTGAGGAACCAAACGAAGTGCGGCTCACAAGACCCCTAATGATGAATAACATAGAGGAACCACGGTTTTCCTTGCCCGGGCGCAGGTCACTGCCCCCCCTCCCCTGGTGGCCAGGCCTGTACTCAAGGGACCTGGTCGGGCACAGCCCGAACAAGGCATGTGGGTCCCCCCTCCAATGGGCTCACCACCTATAGGAGGGGCCATAGGGGTTGGGTCCGATGTGAGCTGGGCGGTGGCCAAAGGCAGGGATCTTGGCGGTCCGATCCTCGGCTGCAAAAGCTAGCTCTTGGGACATGGAATGTCACCTCTCTGATGGGGAAGGAGCCTGAGCTGGTGCGCGAGGTTGTGAAGTTCCGGCTAGATATAGTCAGGCTCACCTCGACACATGACTTGGGCTCTGGAACTAGTCTCCTTGAGGGGGGTTGGACCCTCTTCCACTCTGGAGTTGCCCGTGGGGAGATACGCCGAGCGGGGGTGGGCATACTTATTGCCCCCTGGCTGGGCGCCTGTACATTGGGGTTTACCGCAGTGGACGAGAGGGTAGTCTCCCTTCGCCTTTTGGTGGGGGGACAGGTCCTGACTGTTGTTTGAGCTTATGCGGCAAGCGGCAGTTCAGAATACCCACCCTTTTTGGAGTCCTTGGAAGGGGTGTTGGAGCGCACTCCTCCTGGGGACTCTCTTGTTCTGCTGGGGGACTTCAATGCTCACGTGGGCAATGACAGTGAGACCTGGAGTGGCGTGATTGGGAGGAATGCCCCCCCCCCGATCTGAATCCGAGCGGTGCTTTGTTGTTGGACTTCTGTGCTCGTCACGGATTGTCCATAATGAACACCATGTTCAGGCATAAGGGTGTCCATATGTGCACTTGGCACCAGGACACCTTAGGCCACAGTTTGATGATCGACTTTGTAGTCGTGTCATCGGACTTGCGGCCGCATGTCTTGGACACTCGGGTGAAGAGAGGGGCGGAGCTGTCAACTGATCACTACCAGGTGTTCGGTTGGCTCCACTGGTGGGGGCTTGGTAGGCCCAAGCGTATAGTGAGGGTCTGCTGGGAACGTCTGGCAGAATCCCTTGTCAGGAGTTTCAACTCCTACCTCCGGCAGAACTTCTCCCATGTCCCGGGGGCAGCGGGGGACATTGAGTCCGAATGGGCCATGTTCCGCGCCATAAGCTGTGGCCATAAGGTGGTCGGTGCCTGTCACGGTGGCAATCCCCGAACCCGCTGGTGGACACCAGTGGTGAGGGATGCTGTCAAGCTGAAGAAGGAGTCCTATCATGCCTTTTTAGCCTGTGGGACTCCAGAGGCAGCTGACAGGTACCGGCAGGCCAAGTGGGATGCAGCTACGGCGATCGCTGAGGCAAAAACTCGGGTTTGGGAGGAGTTAGGCGAGGCCATGGAAAACGACTTCCAGACGGCTTCGAGGTGATTCTGGTCCACCATCCAGTGGCTCTGGGCAGGAAAGCAGTGCAACATCAACACTATTTATGGTGGGGATGGGGTGCTGCTGACCTCAACTCGGGACGTTTTGGGTCGGTGGAGGGAGTACTTCGAAGACCTCCTCAATCCCACCGGCATGCATTCCAATGTGGAAGCAGAGTATGGGGACTTGGGTGTGGATTGTCGAACCTCGGATTCAGGAGGAGCAGTGTGGTTTTCGCCCTGGCCGTGGAACAGTGGACCAGCTCTATACTCTCTGCAGGGTTTTGGAGGGTTCATGGGAGTTTGCCCAACCAGTCTATATATGTGTTTTGTGGACTTGGAGAAGGCATTCGACCGTGGGGGGTCCTCCGGGAGTATGGGGTGCCGAGCTTCCGTTTAAGGACTATTCGGTCCCTGTATGACCGGTGCCAGAGCCTGGTCCGCATGGGCGGCAGTAATTCGGACTTGTTTCCAGTGAGAGTTGGACTCCGTCAGGGCTACCCTTTGTCACCGATTCTGTTAATCGTTTTTATGGATGGAATTTCTAGGTGCAGCCAGGGCATTGAGGGTGTCCGGTTTGGTGACCTCAGGATTAGGTCTCTGCTTTTTGCAGATGATGTGGTTCTATTGGCCTCATCGGACCGTGACCTTTAGCTCTCACTGGGACAGTTTGCAGCCGAGTATGAAGCGGCTGGGATGAGAATCAGCACCTCCAAATCCAAGACCATGGTCCTTAGCCGGAAAAGGGTAGAATGCTCTCTCCGGGTCGGGGATGGGGTCCTCTCCCAAGTGGAGGAGTTTAAGTATCTCGGGGTCTTGTTCACAAGTGAGGGGACGATGGAACGGGAGATCAACAGGTGGATCGGTGCGGCGTCTGCAGTGATGCGGGTGCTGCATCGGTCTGTCATGGTGAAGAAAGAGCTGAGCCAAAAGGCAAAGCTCTCGATTTACCAGTCGATCTACGTTCCTACCCTCACCTATGGTCATGAGCTGTGGGTAGTGACCGAAAGAACGAGATCGTGAGTGCAAGCGGCCGAAATGAGTTTCCTCTGCAGGGTGGCTGGGCTCTCCCTTAGAGATAGGGTGAGGAGCTCGGTCATTCGGGAAGGACTCAGAGTAGAGCCGCTGCTCCTCCGCATTGAGAGGAGTCAGATGAGGTGGCTCGGGCATCTGATTAGGATGCCTCCTGGATGCCATGCTTCCAGGCATGTCCCACTGGGAGGAGGCCCCGGGGAAGACCCAGGACACGCTGGAGGGACTATGTCTCACGGCTAGCCAGGGAACGCCTCGGGATTCCCTCAGAGGAGATGGATGAAATGGCCGGGGAGAAGGAAGTCTGGGTTTCCCTGCTGAGACTGCTGCCCCCGCGACCCGACCTCGGATTCAGCATGAGATAATGAATGGATGGATGGTATGTGTGTGTATGTATTTATGTCAATATAAGGAATATATAAAGAATACATTTTTGTGAAATGAAACTGACATGCCGATGGAAATTCATTGTCATATATATATATATATATGTGTGTGTGTGTGTGTGTGTGTGTGTGTGTGTGTATTCTTCCTCAGTCATTCTTTGTAAAGATTGATGACAAAAGTATAACTTATGATTACTTGGTAAAGCCTTTCCTCCTCTTGTCAGATCAGGTTTATATTTTTCTACTTGTGATCATGTGTATTTGTATGGAAGCCCATTTCCGCCAGTAAAAGAAAAAAAAAATTAAATAGAACGTCGAAATTATGAGAGAGAAAGTCATAATTATGAGATAAAACGTCACGGCGCATAGAACACAGACCAGGGAAACAAACGACGGAGACCGGGATATGGGTAAAATAAAAGGTTTTAATGGTGAAATGCAGGGGCATAACAAGGGAGACACTACACAACCAGGCACGACACTGCAATGACAGAACTAGGGAAACAAACACTGACATGGACTTAAATACATTGAAGTAATACAGACAATTGGAAACAGCTGTAAAACATTGGGAATCGACATGAGGTTAACGAGGAGGATCAGCATGATTGGGGTGTGACAGAACCCCCCGCAAAGGCGCGCACACCGGATGCGCCCCAGGGGAGCGGAGGGATGGAACCGGGAACATAGGACCTGGAAAACAAAAGCAAAAAACAAGTCAACCAGACACAGGGAACAAGACAGACACACAGAACAGACACAGCGACAGCAAGTCAGACAGCAAATGACAAACCATGGGAAAAGCCAACAAGCACAGGGGCAACACAGGAGACACAGGGGGAACACCAATGGGAGGAACAAAGGGGCCAGGGCCAAAACCAGAGGGACCCTCAGTGAGCGCGAGGGGGGCGCTGGAGGGAATGCCGCAGGCAGCAAGGAGGAGGGCAGAGGGACGGACGGGGCAAGGAGGGAGAGGAAGGGGACCCAGGCAAAGGGGAGAAGGGAGCAGTAGCCACGGCTGGCGAAGGCGTGGCCACCATCGGCCAAGGCGCAGGCGACCGCCGAGCCAGAGATGGGGGACCCGCAGGTGACCGACGAAGCGCCGGAGGCAGGACAGCTGCCAGCCGACGGGGCACTGCAGGCGGAACCAGAGGCGACTGCCGAGTGGCAGCAGGAGGACCCGCAGGCGACCGCCAAGCTGCAGCTGGAGGACCCACAGTCGACTGCCGAGCCGCAGCCAGGGGAATCGAAGGCAAGCCAGGGGGCAGGGCGGGCGGGACCCGACCCTGGCACAGGTGTCCCCTCCCTTTTCGGGAGACTGAGAGGCGAGGACCTGGCTGGGACTGGTCATGCTGAGGTTAATGGTGGAAGAGTCACTGGGAAAATCAATGAGATCCCCGAGGGGTCCCACTCAAGCTCCTCCAACTCCACTATAGAGGGAGGAGCGGTGGTTAGGCAGTTAGGGACCTCCTCAGGGACAGGGGCTGGGGTCATGGGAGTTGGGTCAGGAACTGGGGAAGCTGGAGGTATAGGGTCCGGGGAATCAGAAAAGTCTGTGGGGACTGGGTCCAGGGCCCAAGCAGGAACCACTGGGACCGATGAAGCCGGGGACACAGGAGGAACCTCTGAGGGTGATGATGCAGTAGGGACCTCTGGGGGCGCAGCATGGGGCGCCGCAGGCACAGGTGATTCAGCACCAGCAGGGGGCGACACAGGGACCTCCGGGACCGCTGGGGGCTGAGCAGGGGCCTCGAGGGACACCGCAGGGGCCTCGGAGGGTGAAGCCAGAGCTGCCGCAAGAACCGGCTATTCAGCACCAGCAGGGGGTGCCACAAGGGGCGGAGTTGCAGGCACTGGAGTCACTGGGGATGCAGCTGCAGGCAAGGGAGTCACTGGGGAAGCAGCTGCAGGCACGGGAGTCACTGGGGAGGCAGCTGCAGGCACGGCAGTCACTGGGGAAGCAGCTGAAACAGGAGGTACAGGGGGCAAGGCTGAAGCAGGAGGCACAGAGGGTAGAGCTGAAGCTGGATCCACCGGGGGCGCTGCGGAAACAGCCGGCTCAGTACCAGCAGGGGGCATCACAGGGAGCGGAGCTGCAGGCACAGGAACCACTGGGGCCGGAGCTACAGGCATGGGAACCACTGGGGGCGCTGCCCGGTTCGGGAACTTTGGGACCCGCAGGATAGCGTCTCAAATGGACCTGACCCCTTTAAGGGCCAGGTGCATCCCAGAAAAGGGGAGTGTTGCCAATGAGGGCAGCGAAGCAGCAGGCGGCTGCTGTGAGGCGGTGGCAATGGTGACTTCCGGAGGGAACTCCGCTGGGTTCAGAATCAGGAGGGGGTCCTCCCGACACCCGCTCGAGGAAGCAGCGGAGAGATAAACATCCCCCAGACAGACCTCCTGCGCATTATCCTGCCTGTGTTTTCTCTACTTTGTCTTCCGTAATCCTGCAGCGGGCAGCGGCGTTTGTGGCACCTCCATTAATTCAGCCAGCGTCTCAGCCGCCCCAAATTGTCGCGCACCTCCCCAGTTAGGCGCGCGTCTCCGGGCAGGGACATCGATTCCAAAATATACGGGTAAAATAAAAAGGTTTTAATGGGGAAACGTAGGGGCATAACAAGGGAGACACTACACGACCAGGCACAACACTGCAATGACAGAACTAGGGAAACAAATACTGACGTGGACTTAAATACGTTGAAGTAATACAGACAATTGGAAACAGCTGTAAAACACTGGGAATCAACATGAGGTTAATGAGGGGGGCGTGGCACAGGAGGATCAGCACGATCGGGGTGTGACATAAAAGGCCGAAATTACGAGATAGTAAATCAAAATTACGAAATAGAAAGTCATAATTATGAGATTAAAAAATCTAAATTACAAGATAAGAAGTACGCATGTGCTCCAGTCCAGCTGAAGACCTGTCATCGCCTCATTGGCGTCGATGAAGACATGTAGTTCAAACGTAAGCCATTAAAAGTGATGCTTTTAACTGTTAGATACAACTGCCAGACTCTGAATACCTCATTTTACTACATTATTGTTCAATAAAGGTTGCCACCTCAGCCACATCGGTTTTATTCTTCCGTCGCCAGAGTTGCTTCGTGCTTAATATCCTCTCAAGGGTGCGTTTGCTTAATGCAATGGCATGCAATTCAACAAGCAAATTAAGTATTTTGTTTGTTGTAAAGCCACGTTTAAAGTAATCTTCAATGTAGTCATCCATTCCTATGTCAAACTGAATGAGACCTCAAGCCAAAGATGTGATATTTGGACTGGTGTGTGAAAGCATATGACTTTTTAATCTCGTCATTTCGGCTTTTTATCTCGTAATTATGACTTTGTATCTAATAATTTTGGCTTTTTCTCTCGTAACTATGACTTACTATCTCGTAATTTTTACTTTTTATCTCGTAATTTCGGCTTTTTATTTCATTTTTTTTTCTTTTACTGGCAGGAATGGGCTTTCATATATTTCTTTCTCTTTGCCTGTGTGATGTTTTTTACAGAGTTTCACAGCCACTGTTCATGCCTTTCACATCAGTACCATTTTGAAAACATAAACCTGACCTGGACTGACACCCTGGCTTATTGCAGAAAATACTACACTGACTTGGCTACTATTGACAATATGGAGGAAATGAAAAGACTCACTGAGTCTGTATGCACTGATTATACTGGAAAGGCTTGGATAGGACTGAATAAAGTAATATCAGGGAGATGGCAGTGGTCCTCAGGAGAAGGAGATACCGGGTACACCAACTGGAATAACGGTAAACCAGACAACTTGGATAAGAAGAACCACTGTACCAAAATGCATGACAATGGTGCATGGCATGATTTTTCCTGTTCAGACAAGGAGTATTTCATTTGTTATACTGGTGAGTGACATTAACCACTTCTTTTCTGACAAATGCAACATCCCATTTAAAGTATACAATTCAGCATAATAATAAACATTCTCACATGAGCAGTTAGGTTTTAGATTGGTTGAACAATTTAAACAGAAAAAACCTGAATCATGAAATATTATATCAACTGAAAAGTTAAAAAGTGAGATTTATTTCAGCAGCGATGATGTGTGGTTCAGTGGGTCAGGACTAAACATGAAATGGTATGAAAATTTAATATCACAATTATCGTGACCCAAATTATCACCGTTATCAGTATTATCGCAGTGTTGTTAAAATGGGCTGAAAATGTACAAAAGTACTGATACACAAATTGAAATAATTTCACCAAGTTTTATATTGAAAACCACAAATAAAACTAGCAGCACCATACACTTTAAAAAATGAAATAAAAGTATATAATAGTTTAGAGCAGGGGTGTCAAACTCATTTTAGTTCAGGGGCCGCATACAGCCTAATACAACCTAATTGGGCCGCATACAGCCTAATAAAGTGGGCCGGACCATCAAAATCATAGAACAGCACATCATAGCTATAAATAACAATAAATTCATGTTTTCCCCTTAGTTTTAGTGGAAAGAAGTATAATTACATTAGGATATTTTTTAATTTAATGAACTATCCTTTTACAAAACATGTTATGAACAACTTCAGATTTCTCAAGAAAAACGTGCAATTTGCTTCAGTTTATCATTTACATGTGTGAATTACAATTGATCACAGTGTTTGTACAAAGGCACAAAACTTTAAGTCACATGTATTTAGAACTGAAAAATATGGTAGCCTAAATCAACTTATCAAGATATAGGAATTATTTTTACTCCAATTTCCACATGTGTAATAATTCTCAAAACTTAAATTGAATCCCCACATCTTACAAGCCAAAGTGGTGGCCATTTTAAATGTATAACACAGAAAGTAATCACGTACTGGGCTATAAAATCAAGATTTATACATGAAACATACATAAAAAATGCATACATAAAATTT